TGAGTCAGCTACTTCTGGTGTTGAGTCCGCAACTTCCGGTGTTGAATCAACTTCCTCTGGTATTGAGTCTACTACTACATTAGCTGGCGATGGCACAACCAGTACTACCGGTACTGCTTCTGCTGCCTCTGGTTCTGAGTCAGCTACATCTGGTGTTGAGTCAGCTACATCTGGTGTTGAGTCCGCTACTTCTGGTGTTGAGTCAGCTACTTCCGGTGTTGAGTCTTCTTCCTCTGGTGTTGAGTCTGCTTCCTCTGGTTCTGAGTCCGCTTCTTCTGGTGTCGAATCCGTCTCCTCTGGTATTGGATCTACGACTACATTGGCTGGTGATGGCACAACCACTACTACCGGTACTGCTTCTGCTACCTCTGGTTTTGAGTCAGCTACTTCTGGTGTTGAATCATCTACTTCCGGTGTTGAGTCCACTTCCTCTGGTTCTGAATCAGCTACTTCCGGTGTTGAATCAGCTGCCTCTAGTTCTGAGTCAGCAACTTTCGGTGTTGAATCTACTACTACATTAGCAGGCGATGGTACTACATCGACCACCTCTGTTGGAGATGTCACAGAGTCTATACCGGAGTCTGACGAAGAGGAACATACAACTGCTGTGACGTACAGATCTCCAATATGTGTATCTGCGGGATACGATACTGTGACGAAGACGATTTTAACATCAGTTCCTCAGTATGATGAACACATGAGCATCACTGGCTTCGTAGAAACATTGTCAGAATTTGAGTACATGGAGACCAGTTGCTTGCAATCAACTATCTTGACGTCTGTTTCATATGACTCTGATTACTTGTCATCGTTCGACGTTTCATATGTCACGAATGAAATAGAGATCACGTTTGTGAGTACAAGTATTGTCAAAGTGGTGGAAACATCCACGAATACCGTGTATGTTTCAACACCTACTGATGGTCACACAATCACATACACCGACTCTTATCCAACGACTGCGACATACACCTCTACAAGTACTGATGTGTCAGGATCCATTACAGTTTTAACGGTTGTGGAGACTGCATCGACGAACACGTTCACCAACCAAGGATACTGCGCCATCACAAGAGAATTAAGTACAGTGAACCAAGATGTTACCGATAGTGAGACGACAGTGTCAAGCACTGTTGTCTGTGAGGGATCTGTTATTGGTGAAGAAGTCCAGACCATTACGACAGGCACCGCTTACCCTACAGAGATAGTGAACGTTGTGACCAAGACTGTTACGAATGTTAATGGAGAAGTCACGACCATGGTCGTTACCGAACGTTGTACGCCTACTACTGCTGTTATAACTGATAGTAACGGACAGTTGAACACTGTTGTGTCCACTATAACTAATACGGTTCCATCCGGTGAGGTTGTGAATGTTGTCACGAAGACAGTTACGAATGCCAATGGAGGAGTTGAAACAGTGGTAGTTACTGAACGTTGTACTCCTACAACTCTAGTGACTACTGATAGCAATGGTAAGGTGAACACTGTTGTTGCCACTATCACCAACACGGTTGCTCCATCCGATGAGGTTGTGAATGTTGTCACGAAGACAGTTACGAATGCCAATGGAGGAGTTGAAACAGTGGTAGTTACTGAGCGTTGTACTCCTACAACTCTAGTGACTACTGATAGCAATGGTAAGGTGAACACTGTTGTGTCCACTATAACTAATGCGGTTGCTCCATCCGATGAGGTTGTGAATGTTGTCACGAAGACAGTTACGAATGCCAATGGAGGAGTTGAAACAGTGGTAGTTACTGAGCGTTGTACTCCTACAACTCTAGTGACTACTGATAGCAATGGTAAGGTGAACACTGTTGTGTCCACTATAACTAATGCGGTTGCTCCATCCGATGAGGTTGTGAATGTTGTCACGAAGACAGTTACGAATGCCAACGGAGGAGTTGAAACAGTGGTAGTTACTGAGCGTTGTACTCCTACAACTCTAGTGACTACTGATAGCAATGGTAAGGTGAACACTGTTGTGTCCACTATAACTAATGCGGTTGCTCCATCCGATGAGGTTGTGAATGTTGTCACGAAGACAGTTACGAATGCCAATGGAGGAGTTGAAACGATAACTGTCACCGAGCGTTGTACTCCTACAACGTTGATCGGAACGAATGCGGATGGTGAGTTGAACACTGTTGTGACTACCATCACCAACACAGACGAGCCAACAGTGTCGCTTGCTAACAATCTTGCAGCCTACGGTTCAACATCTGTGAATGTGATTGCAGCCACCGATTCTGAAGGATCACTTTACACCTATGCTTCGGTGGCCACTGCCACTACAAGTGTTGGTGGTGACTCCGCTTACGGTTACAACAGTACTGTTCCAGACGTCACGATTTCCACAGGAGGTGCTGCTTCATCTCTAGCAAGCTTGGGCAAGCTGAGAATGTTGTTAATCTTAGTTGGTGTTTGTATTATTGCATGAACCAGTTGATTGGTTCTACATATGTGCTTGCTTGTGACTGTATATTGGGGAAGGGGGGGATTCTGACTTTCTGTTACCATATTCTTTTCACCAATGAATGACAGCCAAACATCACTGCACTTTCACACACTACGGATTATTACTGTTATTATTATTTTTCATTACCTTATTACAATACTTATATTATACACGTTTTATGTTTATTAATTCATGTGGATTGTAGAAGAAGCTGTTCAAGTAGCTGTTTGAGTAGCTGGATACGTGTTGCAACGCCAACAATGTAGTATTTGGTGTTGAGTTTTAAAATATCAGGGACATTGAGTTCTTTTTCAAACCTGTCAAGTTTAGAGTATAAGTCATCATGATGTGCCATACAGTCGTGATGATCTGGACTATTGTTGATCAGCAGTTGTACTGAATTGAGGTAAGATGAAGATGATTGTAGCAACTGTTTATTCCGTGCTAGTTGTTTTGTAACTGATTTTGAAGATCGCAACAGGTTCATAAACACCTCTTCTCTCGTACTCAAGGACTTTGACGTCAATATAACGTATTCTTTGTAGATGGCTTCCCGTTTCCTTTCCCCTATATCTCTAAAAGCTCTCAGTCCATCTCTATGTAAGGATTTAAACCTCGAGTAGATTCGATCCAGAGGTCTCTCCAGCGATTCCAAATATCTTAGGTAGAGCACTACTGGACTCACGCCTTGTTTGTTTTGTGAAAGATCACCACCTTGTCTGGATTTTGCTATTTCATCTCGACACCATTGGTCAAATAGCTGTTTTCTAACACTATCCTTTGGTATGGACATGAATCTTACATCATTCACAAGTTTTAAAGATTCGTCATGCCAAGGATTGAAAGGATTGATGTTGTTTTCTTCAAGCAATTGATGGAAGATTTCAACGGCGTGTTGGTTTGTTGATTCTAAGTCTATCTGAGCGTCTTCATCATCTGAAGACAAATCGTTTATATTCAATCCATTTTCCTCTCCAGAGGATTCGTCACTTTGATCAAGAGACTTAAGAGCTTGTTCTTTATTAGCGTTCATATCTTTTTCATCGCCTGATTCAGTTTCCTCGTCACTAGATAAGTATCCACCAACAAGTGAATGCTTATTTGGTGCATAATAGTTTTCGTTGTCGCTGCGACTGTGATCATCTCTGACAATGTGATCATCTCTGACAATGTGATCATCTCTGACAATGTGATCATCTCTGACAATGTGATCATCTCTGACAATGTGA